AGCTGTGTCACTCCAGTTTTCCATCTAAAACACAGCTGTCACACATATCAAACAATGCAATTATGTTTTTATGATTTGTACTTATTTATGATCATATTTTGATCACATTTATTTAACTTGTTGTGTTTAAAACTACTAAACATTGCTTAAGATCTGTACAACCCTTTGCATCTAGCAATAATCTGCTTCTTCTAATAAAAATGAAACAGAAGAAGACAAAACATCTCATCAAAAGCACATAAAACAATGTGGCCACTWATTATTTCTGTACACATCAGCTCTTTTTATGCAACACAAGTCACAAATTATACCAAGTATCAGTGCAGGCTATATGCTGACACAGTTATTAGCAAAAAAATAAAACAAAAGCAAAAACAAAACAATAGTTTTTTTTCTTAATGGTCAAAAAAAGAATAATTTTGTGTTCAATAACATTTAAAACTTTTGTTTCATGAATGTCATCAAACTGTGGACGCCTCAAACACGTTTTTGCGCACATACACACACTGTTTGCTGCATTAATTCTTTTGAATTTCACCCTGTTTCACTATTTGTTTTTCTTTTTTGTTCTTGATTCTTTTGTCTCGGAACTAACTCTCGTGCTTTTATTTTGAAACGGAACATTTTTGGTTGGGTCTGTTCCTTTTATGTTACCGTGGTGTGACRCGGCTAGAAGTGACGACGAGGAGCTAAGAAGTCTTTTCACACATTTCCCTTATTACTTGACAGTACACAGGTAATTTAGCATCGGAGCATCAGTTTCATGTTTATAGAGTCGTACAATGAAGCCTGAGCAGGTCAGATCGGATGTTCCGCCAGATTTAGAGCGGAAACTCCGCTCAACTGGCTTCCCGCTTCCTCAACCGGCATCAGAATGGGGCAGCGCCGTTGTCCTGACCAGCCATAGCTCCGCCCCTTTGGAGAGGTAGCCATGGAGACCGCGCGAGAGCCAGGCAGAGCTCTCAGAGCGAGTGTTTCCGCTTACCTAAAATAAAAAGCTGGCAGCGGCGGCGAGCTGCGGCCGAGCAGTGACGGAGCAGGACTGAGCGGGTCGACGGAAACCCAACACGGCTCGAGCTATTCTCCACATCCAGCTTCGGGTGTCGCGTCTCGAGCTGCCGTTAATGCCTGGCGCGTGAAGCGGGCAGAGTGGAGGGTTCGAACCTGGTGAGTCTTTTTTTCTTCCTGTGGACCGCTGAGCAGCGCCAGGCCACTAAATATCTCTGTTTCTGTTTATTCATAACAAACAAGCGTAATTAACAAACACTGTTAAGAAGATTACGTAATTACGTTTTTTTWAAACTAAAGAAGTGAATCAGAAGCTAGGCTAGCCGAGAACTCACTGAGCTAACGTTGTTTAAAAGACGGAGAAACAGTTTCCCTCCGTGTTTAAAGTTGTTTTTAATACATTTATTATTTATTTATTTAAGTTTTTACATCCCTCCAAGTTTTACAAAGTGTTTGTTGTTAGAAAAGGTTCACCTGTCAGCGGGGTTACACCTGGTCACATGAACAAAGGTACGAGTGTGTGTGTGTGTGTGTGTGTGTGTGTGTGTGTGTGTGTGTGTGTGTGTGTGTGTGTAAATAGCCCTCAGTACAGTTGCACGTGTCAGAACGTGTGACTGCTCTCTCGCCATCTTTACTGCAGTTTTATTGTGTAGTTTTGTGTGTCTTGCACACAAACCCGTTGTGTTTGGCTTCACTGGAAGTCTTGACTTGTTTCCTGTGTGCAGTGTTCAGTTAAACGTGACGTGTGTTGTGTTGCAGAAGGCAGGGAGATCCAGATGTGAAGTGTTTACTCTGGAGAACAGAGGTCCAGGACCTGTGTTCCTCCAACAAACACACTTTGTGTGTTGTGTGTCTGCGTTTTCATCACAGTTTTGTGTACTGCCTTGTTGTAAACCTGGGGATAATAACATCCAAATAAACCAGTCTGAAACCTGTGTTTTTTTAGACTTTATTTAATAAACATATTTTAACTGTAAAAATACTGTAGGATGTTTAGTTTTTATCATTTTTAAAACATATTTTAACACGGACAGAGCCATTTTATTTCCACACAAAGCATTCTGGGTAAATGATGACGTGGATAGGTCCTCGGTGCGAGGCTGCTAGCGAGCTATATCCACCCTGAAGGTTAATCTTGGACAATATCTGATGATCGACTCTTTTAAATGAAACCAGAGAGCGTTGACAGAGAGGAGAAGGTAGAAATGACTCAGCCTGGAACTGAAAATATGGATGGAGGACAACAGGTTAGCCTGTTAGCTTTAGCGCCAACGCTAAAGCTAACAGGCTTTAGCGTTGGCGCATGTTATAAGACAATATATGTTTGCCATTGAAACATGCGCTTGGCGCATGTTTCAATGGCAAACATATTGTCTTATATGTATTAGCTCGGCGCTAGCGCGACAAACAAGCTAAACTGAGGTCCTCCATCCATATTTTCAGTTCCAGGCTGAGTCATTTCTACCTTCTCCTCTCTGTCAACGCTCTCTGGTTTCATTTAAAAGAGTCGATCATCAGATATTGTCCAAGATTAACCTTCAGGGTGGATATAGCTCGCTAGCAGCCTCGCACCGAGGACCTATCCACGTCATCATTTACCCAGAATGCTTTGTGTGCAAATAAAATGGCTCCGTCCGTGTTAAAATATATTTTTAAATATAATGGAAACTGAACATCCTTCAGTATTTTTACAGTCTTTATTTTACCGTTAAAAGAAATGTTTATTAAATAAAGTCTAATGTTACAACTAATCCTGGATCCCTTTAAGAAACCATAAGTTGTCACTTTACAATCAGACGTATTTCTGTAGAAATCAACTCTTACATTTAAYAGAGACAGTGACTGCAGTCATTAATAACATTTTAAAAACATTATGATCAGTTAGTGCTCAGAGTGTTTATTAGGGGTTATTAACTTTTACTGCACCGAATCTTAGCTCAATATCTGTAAAAACAGCTGAGTAACAGACATTGTTGTGTGTTTAAGTGGCAGCCATCTTGAAAGGGTCGACTCCAAGAGTTGATGTGCATTTTCTGCTTTTCAAGCACCTTTTCTACTCTTGGTGCATTATGTCTCCAGTGTTCATTTCTTTACGTTTCCATGCACTGTCTCTTGTGTTTCTGTCTTGTTTTTTCCTGTTCTGGCCTGGCAGCAGGACAGAGGGAGGCTGAGTAGCTGTGAGGCTCTACAGGACACATGAGTTAACAACAAAGAGACCTTTCTCTGCTGCCATGCAGAGTCCTGTCTCTGGGCTCCTTCAGGCCCACACAAGCTCCACCGACAGCGTTAGCACAGGGACCTACTGGGTGGAAATCTTCTCTCGGCGGTTTCTTTGGCACACTGAGTGCTCTCTGTTCCCGGACACATGCCTGCACTGCTGCTCCGCTTGGCTCCTTTTGCATTCCWGGAGCCTCGGGCAGCTGAGAAACTGCAGCAGCCTGCTGGCTGCTCGACTGAAGTGGGGTGTTGCATTTTTTAATCTCTCAAGTAAAGGAGTAAAAACGATGCTTTTCAAACTTCTTTAATGCACTTTGCATTGTCACCTTAAGRACGACGTCCAGGGGGCCAAGGCTAATCCTGATGGATCTGCTTCTCTGCACAGATGAGAACATGAAGCTCTGTGAGCTGAACTTTACAGAAGCATGGCCTGAGGAAACATCAGGATAGAGGAGTTTCTCTCCTGAAGGTCCTGTGGTCAGATAAGACTAAACATCAAGTCAGATCTACCACCTGTCCTCATGCTGAGAACACCATCCCTTCAGTGAAGCATGGAGGTGGCGGTATCATGCTGTGGGGATGTTTTTCATCAAATTGGTTAGAGTTAAAGAAAAAAACAGGGATCCTGCAGATCCTTAAAAGGCATTGAATTCATCACTCCAAAATTAAGGTCTTAATTAGCCTTAAAATGTCTTAAATCAATCTGTCAGAAGTCTTAAAAATGCCAACACATTGTAATTAGGTTGATTGTAATTTGTCTCAAATATTGTAACATTTATTTAAACCTTCACATGCAGACATTCCTCTTTGACATCACTTCCTGTTGCTTCACATGCAAATATCTCAACAACCGTCCCTCTGAGCAACGTGAAATTTGTTTCATAATATGTTAAAACTGTTGTATTTCCAAAAATCTATTCACATTTCTTACAAAAAAGTTGATGTCACGTGCACTTTAAGGTTTCATCTACAGCAAATCAGGGTTGAGAGCCCCTGTGGGTCCTAAAGCTACAGGTTTTGGGTGGTTATATGTTTTAAACTGACTGCTGAGAACGTTTCTGCTGTATTTTACAAAAACACAGTTCGATATGGTTAAAAACAATTGGTTTATTAGGAATATTTGAATACTTCAACCAAAAATATTTAGATTCATGAGTTTCTGCCAGTTTTATTTTTATTTATTTTTTTTGTCATTTGGGTTTATTGTGAAATTGGTCTTAAATTTAATTTCATTTGGCATTAAAAAGTTTTAAATTTAACTTGCCTTAAACTGTAGGAACCCAGAAAAAGGATAATTTTTGAGGAACTTGTCAGGCCTAAGCCTTAGTGTGAACCATGTAAACTGGCTTTGCAGTAAAACTTGGTGCAAATTGTTTTTCCAGGAAACAAAGTATTTAATTTTGCAGACTTTAATGTGCAGTGTGAGGCTCATCGTTGCTGTCAGAGTCAGACAGGAAGAACTGCTGCATGTTAGTGACATCCAAACACAAATCACTGCTTTCACTGTAAAACACCTTCTGTGTTGTTTGATTCATTTAAAGAGCACAGAGGAAGCACATCACATCAGCAACATTTCCCCTGAAGCTCTGAACATATAATATAATAAAAAAATCATTTCAATTCATCAAAACTGTATTTTTCTAAAATGTACCTGTACTCTACAATCAACCTGCCTCCAAATTAATTTCTGATTTAAAAATCCTTCATCTTAATATGTTAATGTTTTACTCTGCCCTCCACATTTTTGTCTGGATATTATTTACTTGTTTTATTTTTCAGATTGCACAGTCTTGATACTTTGATGGTTGTACAGCTTTTATAGTTTTTTGTTCCAGATGTTTGTATATCCTGTTCTGATTGTATAGATTCTGATTTGCCTCTGATTGGACAGCACTTTGTGAATCTGTTTCTATGAAAGGTGCTGTATAAATAAAACTTTACTTTACTTACTGTATAATGACAGTGAGCAGTGCATTTAATGGGAATCTTCTGCGTCGACACTATTTAATGACTTTGTCCTTTCTCAGGCTCTCTTGCATGAAAGCAGTTAAAATAATTCTGCTGAAGTTTTCACTTCCCAGAGATTTAACTGGTCAATACTTTATGTTCAGCCTTTTTCCTCCCTCTTCTCAGGAAGTCATCATCAGGAGTCGTTAACCACACTCAGCAAAAGCTTTTTTTTAATTTGTTTATTCTCAAACATTTTGTTCAGAACACCTTCGGAGGTAACAAAGAGCTCATTATAACACAAACTTAGGCATCTTTTGTGTTTTGATCCCGGCACGGACAAATGAGGAAGCACGGGTGGAACAAATGTCTGGCTCTGGTCCCSTGCGTGTGCTTTGATTAGCTGTGTTTTGGCTGAATAAAACAGCCAGTCTGTGCTGCCAAAAACCCACCTGCGTCACTCAGCCCACCTGTGTGCCCCACATGCAGGTACGCCTCCTCATTCTGCCAAATGTTGCAGCACCATAACATTTATAGCCTAGGCTCATTTGCAACGCTCATACCCAGATGGGCTTTTATCATCCTAGAAATATTGAAACACAGATCATAATACGAAACATTACACTAAAGACATAAAAACAAATTAATAATGCCATTAAAATGGTGGCAGTTATGACTACACAGCTGTTCCTTCTTAACAAACGTCTTCAGTCTTGTTTTAAAATCACAGCGGATGCATTTATGTTAAAACAATTTGTGCTGACTCATGTTTTGCCCTTTACCATTTTACCAAGTCATCGGCATGAATGATATGTTTTGTTACATAACTCACAACATAAGAGGTTTATGTTAAAAGATCCTGTGCCAAAGTCAAGATTAGGGATTAACAGCGAGTTGAGAGGAAGACTCGGAGAAACGCTGCCTCTGGTGGATGATGTTTACGGAGCACATGAGAGTTAATGAACTTGATGCTTGATGTTAACAAACCAACTGTCAAATCATTTCAGACATGTTTTCTCAGACACTCAGTTTGTCGTTCAGTCAGTCTTTTTCTGTGTAGCTCCTGGTTATGTAATCCTGCTGAGTGTTGATGGTAATCCTGGCTCTTCTTCCTGTCGTCGTGGCCTGGGCAGGTTACACCGCAGAGAGCTCTCCCTGGTCGTGGAAGAGAAAAGATGTGCGATGGAATGGTAGCGTTTCAGACGAGAGCCCTGTCCTCCTCTGCCTCCTCCTCTGCGCTGCTCCTCCTCTTCCTCCTGCTCCCTCATGGTCACACATCAGGTAAGTCACAGAGGGACGCACACACTTTTTATTTTTGTCTTTGGGCTCTCAGAGACAGGCTTCTTCACCTTTCTCTTGTGAATTTATTTAGTTTTATCCCTTCATGCTTTGTGAGTTTATCAGATTAAATCCTTCACCCTTGAGTTGGACAGGTTGTTCTACCTCTGAACACCTGCTGAGATCCTAATCTGAGGCTGGATTAATTCACTGTCCTAATGAGTCACAACAGTTGTTTGGAGTGAAATAAGGAAAGAATACTGTTTTTCTTGCTGTCATGAGGTCTGATTCAAGCATGACTTGTTCATCCTTTGAGACCTAACTTGGATTATTAACCCAACAAAGCCCAACAGTCAGGTTTTTGTACCAAAACATTGATCTTAAACTGAACAATTACATGAGAAGTTTTACGTTTTACCATTTTCTTCTGTTTATTTGTGAGAAATTTAATTTTCAGTTGAAACTTGGAGTAAATCTCATCCTTTTCTAATGTGCAGCTTTTATAGCCTCTCACGTTCACGCTCCAATCACAGCCAGCTACTGAAGTGAGCCAGAGGAGCGAGCAGGCTGTTATTAGACAGATGAGATTTGGTTGTTAAGCCTTGATTTCATTGTTTTTCCTTTATTGAGATAAATTATTAGGTGTTAATAAGAGACACTGCAACAGTTAGACATACAGAGTCAGAGGTGATGTTGTGAGCAAAGGACGGCTTCTGATCCAAAGTGCATCATCTCTGTCCGTCTTATGTAACACGAATGATTCATGCAGAGGCCAGAGGGACTGCTGCTTACTGTCTGTGTTTGGATCCTCTCCTGATCCTGAGTGACACCGAAAATGTGTCCTGAAATCCCTGAGCCACGTGCTGTGCTTTGTGTACATGGAAGTGCGCTGGAGGCTCTGTATACGAAGCATTTATTCATTTAAGTTGGTTTGAACTGAGGTGAGACATGAAATGATGCAACTGTTGGTTTTTAGTCAGTGATTATTTGCAGGTCCAGTTCTTTGGAAGGCTTCAGGCAACTAATGCAAAACAGCTAACCCTAAAACTAACAAAAGAGAGATTTTAATACACAGAATTAGAGAGAAGTGAGAGTACTCCTCCTTATTGTGTTTAAGAATGCTAGGTGCTTAAATATATATTTATTTAAGTTAAGCCATTATTGTTATAGTTTCTTAAATTAAATACAATGGTCCTCATGTAAGAACATGTTCATATTCTTCTCCTAAATTTCTCCTACTTTTGTTCGTACAAAGGGTTCGTACGAACA